CACCATACACATCAGACACCAATGTGCATGAGGCATTCTTGTCAGTGTCTTGTCACACATTTTCACAATTCACTCACAGTTTCTTAGCTTTTCTGCTATCGAGTTAAGGAGTATGCAAATTTACACTGACAGGTCATATAGGATTTTTATGCATATCCTTAACACTGGCATGAAAATTATGCAGTTGCTCAAGTGCCTTAAAGGGATTTGTTACCCCAGATCAGATATCATGGAGCATAACCAAATTGGACGAAGTGGTTCTCAACCTGTGGGTCCCCAGATGTTTTGGCCTTCAACTTCCAGAAAACCTGGGATTTCTGGAAGTTGTAGGTCAAAACACCTGGGGATCCACAGGTTGGTAACCACTGACCTAAATGTATGTTTTTGTATAGTTTGTGTTATTATTGCAGGGTGAGACCCTGAATGGAGAGGGATTTCCAGTTTAGCTCAAGTCATATGGCATTAGTGGCTGTGATGGGTTCTGCCAAAAGAAAGATGGACTGCATCCTAATACTGCCACACATCTGGAGCAAATAATAGGGAGCTTCAGAGTATTTCATATGTTGAGCAGTCCCATTATTTCAATCTGGGAATCTAATCACATCTTTGTATTGTGTTAATGTTTGTATAAAAAGAACAAATTTAAAGGTAAATGTGCATATTTAATTAAGCTTTGTTTTAGCATATATTTGTGGCTTTTAGTAAATGAAAAAAGCAAGACCAAATTTGCCATTATCTCTTTTTTTATGACTACAGTTAACTATTGCATTATTCCTTTTTAACCAGGTGTTGCAGTGCCACAATGAAATCTTTCAAGATGAAGCGAATTAATCTGGCACATCTGTGTGTGTATCTATTTGTAGCTACTTCTGCATATCTCAAATTGAATATATTTAGAAACTAAGTTGCTAGGTGAATTTTCCAGTTCATTCTGCTCTGGTTTCTTCTTGTAGCATATGTCTCGAGTTTTCAAGCATATACATATTGGATGAAATCCAGTATAGGGAGAAAGAATATGAAGCCCCACCTCCCCCTCCTCATTTTCCACACAATTAATCTCCCTCCTGTCTCCTTACCATGGTTTAGTAAGGGACAGGAAAGGTAAGGAGATAGGATGGGAGAAAACAACATAATTTTCTTTTATCCTCCTTTATTCTGTAGAACATTGAGAGGGTCCTGGAAGATGTCTTCTTGTTGGGCATATACAGACGGAGCTGCTTTTTTCTTTGTTATCTATCTGGCTACAGGAGCATAGTTAGATTCTTCCGGTCCACCCCTGACCTCCCGTAACCATGAAGAAAGGGGTCCAGGAAGACAAAGAGCCTCAAGGAATGAGGATTGTTTCCTGAGGGGGGGGGGTTGATGAATCTTTCCCTCTACAGTGATCAGAACACTGCTTTATGTCACCAACAGGATGCCATTCATTATTAGAGATGGGGGTGGGGGGATTTATTGACTCCAGATTTTTATACCAACCTTTTCTATCTCAAGAAGGACGTGACTTGGAAACTCCTTTCTGTAGTCAAAATATGTGTACAAAAAGCAAACATCATGGGGAAAAGATGCACAAAAATGAGTGAGCCATGGAAATAACACACAAGAACCCATTGTATAAATGCATAGTTTGCACAAAATGTATATATTAGGAAAATACATACTTTAACATGAACATTAATGCGTACATTAGAAAATGTGCACACATATTTGTGTGGACTTTAAAAAAATTATACAAAATTGGGGTGAAATGAACTTGAGGTTGGAAAAATGGAAACTGAGCAGAACTGAAATCAACAGATTCTACCCACCTCTGTCATAAGAAAACTAAGGTCAAACGTATCATTTTCTTAAGCACATTTTTGTGTCATAGAGTCTGGGCAGCAAATACAATTATTATTTTAGATTTGTTCTCACTTTTAAGAGAGCCCATATACATTTCTACAATGATGTGGTGGACAGAATGTTGTACTTATTGAAAGAACTTAATTGCTTTCCCATTCAATCATAAAGATAATTGAAGAAGCTGTGTTAGCCCACCAGTGTGATGTTCCTGAATTTGTCTGAAATGGCTAATGCCATTTAATGTATCCTAGAGGGAGAGTGAGAACGGCTCAAAAAGAACTGAGGTCTCACCAGACAATCTGTGTGTATGTGTGTGTCAGGTAAAGACAACACACAACACATTTACCACATGTGAATCTCCCACCTGGTTCTGTAACAAAATTAGCTGGTTTGGTAATTCTGGAAGTTTATTCTGAAATAATGATTTACCTGGGAAAAATGAAGACCCCATACTCCAGACTGGGTCTTTCCCACCTGCTCCCATGTTACCAAAATCACCCTCTGAAATGCTTCCCATTCTTGCTGTCTATGATGCCTTTTCCTTGTTTAATTTGGGCTCCCACCACATCAAGTCATTTCAGAAAATAATTTACATATTGTTTTTTAGCTTGTATGTATGCTTAGTTTAAAAGAAAATGGACCTTGCTGCCTAGCTCTGGTAGCTGCCACTCATGATTTAACTATTCTAGTTGTCCTGCGATATTAATGGGGCTCTGACTGGGGGCAAGGGGAGAGTTTCCCATTCTTGGACAACCCCACCTGCTTTAAAGAACAAGGCCTAGATCCTATACCTTCACAGATATAGTTACACCAAAACAGAGGTGAAGGCAGCAAGAAGAAAACAGCAGCATTTATGACCAAGGTAAGGAAAGGAAGGCAAGGAAAATAAGACCAATGGGAGGATATGGTTGTTAGCCACCTTCTTCTGACACTGCTACCACATACCCCATGCGCATGTGAAAAGAAGGTAACACCACTTATCTAGTGTGAGCAGTGTGTTACTATAGGATCCTAGTTTAGGACTCCTATCTAGGACCCATGTCTTTCATAATTTGAATCAGACACATTCTACTAGTTTCCTCTTATAATTTGCTAGTTAAAGGTCACTGTTCTAAACCTATCTTCTTGCTAAAGCTGATAGACATTACACCCAGCTTCACAGAAATTGGCTTCCCAAACAGATTCATTCACCACATTAGAAAGGCAAGAATATAGTTATTACAATATAATTTATGAATATTTGTACAACCAACCAAATTTGTTAAAACAGTCTGCTGTGAAGCTCAGCAATTTTCAAACGTCCCACAAAAGTACAAACTTGAGAACCACCACTCCAATGAGCTATTAGAAAAATCTTTTTATTTTATCCCCCAGTTTCTGGGAAGATTCATATGTGTGTGTATGTGAATGACACATATGCACACATGCTAAAGGGAGGAGTACAAGTCTAAGAGGCTGGAAAACTCTTTGGCATGACTCCAAGTGTCTCATTACAAACGTTTGCCTTAACCTTCCTCCTTTCCTGAGAGGAGAAAGGAAATAATTCCATGGGTGCCTGTGTTTCTTACAGCAGACATGATAAATTTCTTTGTCGTAAATTTGAAAAGATACTGCAGGCAGACATATGACTGCACAACAGCATCATGGTTTTTCAGCACAGGCATATAATGATTTGACCAGTTGTCAGGAATCTTTCACAGAGGCACAGTAGCATCTCTACACATAGAGAGCATAGATAATTTTGTACACATAGGTTGTGTGGAGAGAGAATTTTGGCATGCTGTTGAGTCAAGTGGCTTGGCCTACAGATGCAATACAATGAGGCTACAGGATGATGGACAGTCAGAAGAAGCCAACATATTTTGGATGTAGAGTACTATAAGGGCAAGTGACAATTCAGAGAAAGATACTGAATATGCAAAATGCAGACTACTGAAATTGTAACCGTAAATTTTTGGTTTATCCTTTAAAGCTGCACCAACAGCTTTTTCTGGTACCTCCTTAAGATGATTTCACCATGTGAATGTTGTTGTAGTCATAGTACTGCTAGAATGTCTACTATTAGTACAAGGCCAGGATTCAAGGATTTACTTTAGATGTATCTAAGAATTTAATTTTTTTTTTACAAAAAAGTACCTTTTTTTGAACAGAGAGTCCCCCTGACATGTCACAACATTTGAAATTCCCATCAGTTTCCAACATGTCTAGTGATATGTCTATGTGCATTTTCTCTTTGAGTTCATGGAACTTCAGATTGTGCTGCTTACCAGCAGCCATTCATTAGCCATACATTACACTCCAATGGAAAAACCTACAACTTAAAAAATATGGAGGATAATGCAACAGACTGAGTTTACACAACAAGGATTCAGAGGTCCTTATGTCAGCGTTTTCCTGTTATGATAACAATCTCAGGTGAGGCACTCCAGGGTGTTTTGCACAAATTGCCTTTCTGATTTTCCCAGGTTGCTTAGAGGTCAATTTTTGTTTGCAAAAGCTTGACATTCCACAAGCTTTAGCAGATCAAATATCACATCCTTCTCTTATTTATGTGATCTCTATCACCAGTTGGATAAAGATCAAGGCATTTTTGTTTATATCAGTTTATACGATCTTTTATCCTATACTCCATGAAAAATGATCTTCATTTTATTTCAGCCTTCTTTCTTGTTTCTGAATACATTTTATACACATAGCATAATGTAGTGGAGATGATATTGTACATGTTCAATGAGGAGAGGGCAGGGAGTAAGAAATGTGTTTGTTTTCTTCTAGTCTAATTGTTGTCATTGAGGCCTTCATGATGTTTCTGACTTATGGGACTTTCTTGGTAAGATTTGTTCAGAAGTGGTTTGCTTTTGCTTTTCTCTGAAGAAATGTGACATGTCCAAGGTTACCCAGTAGGTTTTTATGGCTGAGCTGGAATTTGAATCCTGGTCTCCAGAGTTGGTATATCCAGCACACAAACCACTACATCATAATTGTGTAGTTATCTGTTTGTGTAGTACTATTCAATTCCCAGACACATTTGCCAACTCTTATGTGTGGTGAGCAGTGTCGGTTACCTGTAGTTCTGTGTTTATAGGCAATTATACTAAAATTTCTTGGAAACTCTGTCCATCTTCTTTCTTCAACAAACTCATTTGAAGCTGGCAGCTCTCTTGTGCTGCTTAAGGATGTTAAGCATCATGCCATCTTTTTTGTTGTTGTTAATGTGCGGAAGGACAACCTTGGATAGCTATATTTGCAAAAAGTATTCTATCTCTTTAATGAAAGGAAAAGTCAATATAATGTATTCTCATATGTAAATGCAATAAGGAAATAACATAGAACTCTGATTGTGACTTATGACATTTGGCTTTGCAGTATTCATATATTGCACAAACTGGAATTTTCTGTTTCAGAAAATAAAACAATAAACACATCAGGGGGAAGTCTGCCCTATATGACTGCAAAATAGAGATCATTTTTTCATAGATTATGGTAAAATATTGGAGCATTGTCTCTCTGAAGCCAGTTGTTCATCATGTATGTCCAAGTTTTACAGTACAAGGAGAAATGGAACAAGATGGCAGTTACAGTGGCAAGATGCAAATTTATTCGGGCAAAAGTAATAGGTGCACAATATCAAGCATGCTCAGGTTTGTGCCAAGAAAACTGTTACGGATGAGGAATGGATGGGATGAGGTTTTGCATCATACATGATTACGTTTCTCTGAACTTCATAAAAAGAGTCTTTTTTCTGTATGTGTGATTTCCTAGCTGCCACTAAGAAAATATACGGACCACACTGCTGGAGTAGAAATACCCTGGCTCAAACAGTAACATACATCACAGCAGCAGGCTCCCCGGGAACATGATATTCCTTTTAAAAAAATCAAATAAATGAATAAATGACAGAAAGGGCAATGGGAAAATGGTGACAAAGAATTCACAGACCATGTAACTGCAGGCACCTATTTGAAACGGAAGGGGATATTTTATGGCGTCTTTAAGTGAAACGGGTTGTGCTTCCTGCTTCATTTTACTCATAGTTTGGCTTCTCTTTTTGAAAGCATTTGGATCAAGTTGCCACTGTTTTTTCTTCAGCTCTTGTCCTCTTATACCACTCTCGGCTTGAAGCCAAGGGGTGATAAAGCTGTGTTTCTCCACCCCTGAAAACACATTTTACAAAATGACATAGGAGAGGAAGAAATAATGATTTCTCATTTGGTATTCTCTGCAGTACGTCACCATGAGGCAAAATAGGGTGCCATCTGAGTTTATAACCGCATCTCTTCTTTAGACGCTACTTCAACCATGAGATAAATGGAACTCCCTACTGTATTGGGACAGTACAAACCAGAAAGAAGAAAAGAAAAGAGGAGAAAGAAGATGAATGTGTTTAGTTCACGAATGAACCAAAACAATGCAATGTATGCCACAGGAATGGATGTGGTTGAATGGCCTTTGCACAGCAGAGGTAGATCAAGGTTTATAACAAACTGTTTTCTGACCATACACATTTAATATCAGGAGAAGAGGTCAGTTGAACAAGAGCGCACCCAAGTGCTTTCTGACTTGTGTGACCTACATCCCTCCAGTACTGCAGCCCAGCCCAGTTATTGCTGCATTACTTTTAGTAATAGACCTGATATGCTTTGAAATCTACATTCTATCAATGGTTAAAGCTTTCTCTTTCCCACCCACCACCCACCTGTCTTCAAAGCATTCCCATAATATCCAGCATCATTCATAAGATGTGCTCTTTCAGGCAAAAAATGCACCATGTTTTTAATGCTGTGTAAATAGGATACCTCTGTGTGCGCATGCACAGTGGAGAGAAGGGGAAAGGGTCAGGAAAGAAACTGAAGCTGGAAAACTGCATTTTACGTGCTTTTTTGTATTTGCACAGGTCATTTTAAGATCCTCATTCTCAGTCATAGCAAAACACTATCAAAACAAGAAGTCTTGCAAAATAGTTGAGCTTATACATCTTAACAAATGCATTATTTTTAACCTGCCAAAGCAGTAAGGGATTGTTCTCTTTTTCTTGTCTTGTCTTTTCTTTCCTTTTTTGCAGAACTTCACAAACCAGAAAACATGAATTAAAATGCATATCAACACCGCAGTGATGAACAGAAATGCTTCTTGAAAGGGGACAGGGAAGAAGGATATTGATAGCTAGAATGCAGATAATAGATTAGAGCTAAGAGAATATTTACTATCTTTTTGTTTCCTTCATCTCCCAGCTACACAGCAAACAGCTCTAAAGTGCACTTTCCAAGTGTAGTTAGAGAACAGGAAGGATTGAAAAGTTTTTTTAAAAAAACAGCCCTTATTAACTTTTCCTTCCATTTATTCTAGTGTAAACTCTAAAAAGCCTTTTTAAAAAGCAAGTTCTCATACACTCAGCATGTGATATGATCCTACCCAAAAAAGCAATGAAAAAGGCAATTGGATTGTTCATCCCCCACCCTACTTGACTACGCATAGCCCATCATATCAATTTTATTGCACACGCATGAAAATGATCTATTTTAAAGAAAAAGGAGAAATGTTTTCCCTCAGCTGTGTGAACTAACATATTATTCTATCTCCTATCCATTCCCAATGCCATAACCCCCTTCACTTTCAAGGATGATTTCATATAAATGCAATATTTAATGCAGGGATGGACAAACTACAAACTCCAGGTGAGGTTCAACTGCCAATTCCATCATTCCTCACCATTGGATATAATCAGTTAGGGTTGCTGGGAGAGTTGCAGTCCATCAACACCTAGAAGGTGGCGTGTTGACAGTCCCAACGTGTGGCATGTTGACAATCCCCAATTTGAGGAGAGCTTCACACACTAAATTGCTGCAAGATAGAACCACAGAGATGTCAGACATTTGTATACCTCCATCTTAATGCACCAGTGGACTTCTCTGGGGATTCTGGTTGGTCCAGCAAATCCAAGACAGGTGTACATTCATATGTGCACTAGATGTGTGTACACCCATGTGTGATGTCCACAAATACTATACTTTCTGCAAAGAAATGGTTCTTCTCACAGCAATCACAATGTGTGAAGGCAGCCTCCGAATGAAACCCTTGTAGGCGTTCTACAGCTTTGTCAGGAAAAGAAGAGAAAAGATTTTTGCCCCTATAGATTTCTATATTGGCATGTGCCAATTAAGTGACTGTAGAAGAATTAAAATTGTAATTCACAATGAATGCCAAACTTTTCATCGCCATTCTGATGGCCTCCTATCTCCTCAACTTGCTGAGCCCTTAACCTGTTTTTCACATTCCATGTTCTAAACCAGGCTGCTCCTGTTCAACTGACCAGTGAAAAAGGACTGGACTTTTTTGAAAATGGGAATTGGAGCAACAGTTTGTTATAGATTTCTTTACATTACAATTTTCACTAATCTCACCATCCTATGGAGAGCACTTCATTCTTCTGACAGCCTCCTTGCCCTCCACCCATGGAGCCTCACTTTGGGTTTATTCAGTCAGGGGACTCAAATGCAACAGTGGCAGAGGCTCATCTGAGACATGTGCCCATTCATTGTGATTACACAGACAGAAAGCAAGCGGGCATTGTCTGCTTTGGGGCACTTCGGATGAGGGGAAGAAGGAGAACCATTTTTGTGGGGAACACGGCCATTTAGGGGGCTGGTTTCATTTTTTTCATCTGCTAGTTTTGCCATGGAATCACAGCAGTTCTTTCTCTAATAGAAATTGACAAGACATAAAAGACAGAACTATTGGATGAACACACACAATGACTAGAAATAGATAAGACAGTGAAAAGACTTAGTTTAGCTCTGAGAAACTGTCCGAAAAAAATAAAATCCTGTATTAACAAGTGCAAAAACAAACCAAAAAAAGAAACTCCAAACATTAAAACACAGTGTATAAAATGGTGCGAGAAATTTAAGTCACCAGACAGCCTTTTAGTCAATAAAAAGCTGTATATGATGTGTCCTGTTTGGATTATGGCCCATCTGTTGAGTTTTACCCAGAAGGCCTTTGGAGGAGTTAACGGAGGGCAAAAGGACCCAGTTTTCTCATGTTTGACTGCAGTATGTGTGGGACTGCTGTGTGCCTGTGGGAGGAGATGGATCAGTTCTTTTATTCCTCATTGGCTGAATGGTCTTCCAAATTTGTTATGCCTCCAAAGCCCAGTTCCGTTGAGTTCTGTGCTGCTGAGACCGTTAGTACTGTATGTAAGAGAATTAATACAAGAACACACAGTTTAAGTCTGCTGTTACACAGTCTTGATGCTGATGAAACTGTAAGTGATGTCCGGTGACACATCATCGAGTCACTTGTTTTTATAGTCCCTTTGGATTGGTTATCTGATAATAGTCCCCATCTGACATCACAGCATTCTGGTTCTGCATTGGTTGGATAGTTGTCATAGAGCCCTGCAAGGGGGAAAATACATAATTAATTATCACAAATGCTTTTGCATTGTGAAGCAGTCTTCTGAATGGTCAAGTAATAAACTTATAAAATTATAGTTTAATTGATATTGATTTTATTCTACAGAGTATGGAAAGGCATATACACTGAAATAAAGAAATAGTTTGTTGCTGTGTACCTTCATTTCATTTCTGACTTATACAGACCCTAGAACAAATTCATCACATAGTTTTCATAGAAGAATTTGTGCAGAGATGGGTTGCTCTTACCTTCCTCTAATGCTGAGAGAGTGTGACTTACCCAAAATCACACAATGGGTTTCCACAGTCAAGCAGGTATTCAGACCCTATTTTCCAAAGTCACAGTCCAATTCTCAAACTACCACATCAAGCCAGCTCTCAAATGAATAATGTGAAAATTAATTAATGAAGTGAAAATAATAATTCACTCCCCAAATATTTTCACACTGTTGCATCCTTAATATGAGTCAAACTAGTCAGAAGACCACTTAACCAGCTACAACTACCAACTTGGGATGGTTTCTACAGTGTTTGGCCACATAATGTTGAGTGAAGTGAACATTATAGAGACATATTACTTAATTTCATGAAGGTGGCAAACTGGCATAGAAGCAGGACCTGTGGTGATGGTTCCTATCACATAATGCCAAGCACAACCCATAATTGGTCTGCCACCTCTCTACAACAAATCCATCCCCTGCTATTGATGGGCAAAATCTGTTAACAGTCCTTTATCATGCCATAGCCCTGCAACTTACCTTGTGTGATGATCTCCTGATTCACTTTTGTGCTGGCATGTCAGCACAGAAATGACATCAGGTGGTTAGGATTGTCCTTCTCCCCTGATTTCCCCTTGCTGTAACTCATTATTTTTATTCACTTAACCTAAATTTTGCTACAGTTGTGGAGTTGCCTTAAATAAATTATTATTTGTTAAAACAAAACCTCTGGAGCAGCAGAACTGCTACCCAAAGGAAGGCCATTGGACAATGAATCTGCAAACCTTTGCAGAAATGTAGCGCTTGGGAGAGGTGAAATGGTGAGGATAACTATATCAATAAATTTCTGCTATTGAGGGAATACCATGGCCTAGAAGTTTCATATAGTGAGGTCCATCGTGTTTCAAATCTCATAAGTGGCACAGCTTCGAAAAGTTACGTTTCATAGATCCCAGAATCCTCAAGTGAGCAAGGCCATTTGCCATACTGACTGGGAAATTATTTGTAGGTGGGGGGTCGGAGTGGTCATAGTTCAAAAAGTAACCTTTTTATGCAGAGGTAAACAAAATATAAAGTGCTTATTAATTTAGGCACTTGATTCAACAAACAAGAAATATTAAATTCAGTTATCTGGTTGTTTTTAAGTACTAATATACATTACTTAATTTAATATTTATGTTAATGTTTCAAGCCCAATCTGCATTGGAAATAGCAACAGCCATCACAGTGGAAAGAGGATTTCAACAGTGGACCCAACAGACAGAAAACAAGGATCAGGTGGTGCAGTTTCCGATTCTTTAAATACATGATCTCCACAAATTGTTCACTTCATACATTTAAGAGTTACCAACATAGCTTCTGTTACCTCAGAAGCTATGTGAAGAAACATTCTTATACTTAATAAAAGCTTTGTGTAGTAACATTTGAGCCAGCTGAAATGCCAAAATGCTTGCCTTGTGGTAGAGAGTTGCATCATTTATTTAAAAGTCACTAGAAAATCAATTATTGTTATTTTATTGTTTTGTTGTTAATATTTATTTGCTGACTTTTTATTGTATTTTAATAGTCTTTGGCTGACCTACACTGTAGTTAAGGATTTGGAATTAAATTTATGGTTCCGCAATCTGCATTCAAAATGGTCAGTAATACTGCTATGATAGAGACAGTAAAGTGGTTCAGTGCTCCTTCAAGGTTCTCTTCGGACAGCCTTTTTGCTACTCTACTAAGAGAAAACAATGGTTCCTTTTCATAAAAGATACAGTCCTTACATTGACCCATTGGATAAGGCACCCCGGATTTTTTAGTTGATTTTTGTGAGCAACATTTCTAGACTTATACCTGTGTATATACAGTATTTCTAAAAAGTGTCAATTCAATTTCAGTTTAAGCTATCTTTCCAACACCATATTATGTTTTATATTAGCTTGCTATTGGGATTTTCTATGCTTTTATTGAATATTTTAATTGGATGTTTAGTGTTGTGTATTTTAAACATTTTCCTTAAACACTGTACTTGCAAAAAATGATGAAAAAGTAAATGAACGATTTCCCTAAAATAATATTTAAATAAACCACAGGGACACTTAGATTCTTGAAAACAGAGGAGGTTTTTTTTACAAGAGACTGCCTCAAACTCTATAGTGTACCAGTCCTCATTTATCATATTGTCTTTTGCTCTGTACACTCATGAATGTAAGGTTTTTTTAACAGATATTGAAGCAACTCCAGTCTGCTTTATTGTTACACATATTGCTGATGACCACCATCACTGCACAGCCACGAGACTATTACTTGGAATACTTCCCATGATCTCTAATGTGTTCATCTTATTCCTTTTATTTTTGAAAATGGTTATATTGATTTTAAATGTTAAAGAATCCCAGAACAGTATGTAGTAATTAATTCAGTAAAACACAGTAAAACCAACCGAACATTCTCCATGAGATGCACTATGACATTTCACTGGAAATGATGGTGACATGCTGTACCCTTGCTTATGGGCTGGCATTCGTAGTTATAGTAGGTGACTTGATATGTGTGCCCCACCAACCCCTGCAATTTTGCAGGTACTAATGGGGCACATTCTTCAGTTTGTCATTTTATGGACCACTTTCTGCATCAGTCTAATTCCACACATAGTATAAGACATGGAGCTTTCCTTTAAAATGTTCCATTTTAAGAAACTTCTTGTTGTAGTTGAACTAAATCAGCTATCTAAGCAGGGTAGAAATGGATGATATTGTTATGGCTTTCCTCCACAAACCAAGATTCAAAGATATAGGAAGCCAGTCCATCTTCCTCCTGTTACAGTTCTCTGTGGTATCAAATACTATGATTCTTCCAGCTTTCCAGAATGTTTTTAAAGGATACATTGGGGTGGGGGGAGTAAACCACACAAACAAGGGGTGGAAAAGTCTGAGAGAATCAGTAATACCCAGTTCATGTGTGGTGTCACATGCTGGCCCAAGGTAACTGGGAATTGTACATGATGAACCAGTTTAATGGAGAAAAACAATTAACATTAAGTCAGTTAAGCTTTTCAACCAGTTTCAGGCTTCAGTACTTCATCATCACCTTGTTCATTTGGTATAGATTGAAATCTTTAGTGTTCTCCACTAGATGTCCCTAGTCACCTATTCCAAACTGTAATACTCTAGAGGTGATAAGCATGATACAGCTGCCTGAAATTGATAGCTTCCAGAATATGAAACACTGCAACAAAAATCCCAAAGCCCATTGTGACCACCTTATTGGCTAAAAGGAAAACAAAGCACCTGTTTCCTGAATGAACTGAGATAAATGTTTAGTTTAGTTTACATGGATCTCTTGATGAACCCGGGCAAAGATCCAGTTGGGTTGTTACTAGGCCTGGGAAACAATGGAAAAATTTGTTTCTAAAATCGATTTGTATTTGGGGGTTTTTTTTGTTTCGATATTTAAAATAATTACAAAATTTTCCTTTTAAAAAGTTCGATATTTACGAAATTTCGTAAATGGTAAAAAATTAATGAATCGATTTCCGAAACAATAACGAATCGATTCGTTAATGGCGGACGCGACCGCGAAATACGCTAAAAAAACCCCAAAACCTTCTGAAGCTTCCCTCTCCCTCTGTTGTTGACTGTTGGTGTGATATTATAATTTTTTTTCACTAATTAAACCATAAAACTGGCCCAGACATGCGGAAATAATAACGAAACGACCTCAAAACAATAACGAAACGAATACAATATCGAAATACGAAGCATTTACAAAACGTTTTTGAAAATTCGGTTTTTTTTATAATTGCTCCAGAATGGTTCGTTATCGTTTTGTAATTGAAAAAATTAACAAATTATTAACGAATTACGAATTAACGAAACGAAACCGCCCAGCCCTAGTTGGTACATATCATAGTTACAGAATTACATACTGATTCCCAACCCAGTCCCCCCAATCTCTACTTACTGGGCAGCAGTCACTGTGATCAATGGGAGTCTATTCCCCTATTGATTGAGAAGCAGCAAAATTATGTTCTCATCCTTTCTCTTCAACAATAACTGTTACAAGAACCAGAAGCAGGGGTACTGTTACAATTACTCCTTGCACTGGAGTTCTCTCGCAAGAATGAGGATGGGACCATCAACCAGCTACTTCCTAAGAATATGGGAACAGATCCCAATCAGAGTGCTTTCCGATAGGTAAGTGGGGATTGGGAGACTTTCATGGTTCTCATCTATCCTCTAAATTAGGGATTGTGAATATGAAACAGTCATGATAGCGAAACTTTAGGTTATATGTTCGTAACTGCCTTATAGGATGCTGGGCCCATATGGAAGACGTAAGCTTGATTCAATGCTTGCTGCTTATTTGGATTGTAAAGGCAACGTATGGAGAAAGAAGTCTTACATTTTTTGCATTCACATTTTATAAGTTCCTTTTTGCACTGAAGCTCTTGGAATCTACCAGGCAGAATAGCCAGAAATAATACTGTCTGGAGAATGATCTAGAAGCTATAATTCAAAAAAGATACTTTTATAAGCTCTGCTCATATTCCAGATCACCTCCTAATTTTTTGGATTTATTTTAAAAGGGCTTGATTCAGTTGTAGAGCTAGGTAAAGTGATATGACCCTATTGAGTTATTTAAAAACAGAGATCGCATTTTGAATGAAGAGAAACATTCTCTAACTTTGTTCTAATATCAGCTATGCATCTTTATAAATGGTGATAAAGGTCTTCTGCTCTGTGAATTCAACAGATTTAATTAGCCACGATATTGTATGCATACATTACTCTTAACAGCGTTGTCAAAAGCAGGTATGATAAAGTTCCTACTGAATAATTAACTGTTCTCTCTGTAAGTATCACCTGTTCTCCCTGTAATAAGACCCAAACAGCCCCAGATTATTTCAGAATTTGCCTGGGCTGTGTTTCAAGTCACAGAAGCATAGGAATGGTCAGTCTACACAAGGGACCAGTGTATATATGCTTTATGTATGTATTTTATTTAGTTGATTTATACTTCACCTTTCTCTGCAGATGGTACTCAAACTGTCTTATTATATGTATTAAAAGAAAATCATTGAATCAATATAAAAGCATTAACGAGTCAATTAAATTAAAACATTACTTTTAAAACACTAATTTAAAACCATTAAAGCACATGTCTATTTGTGTTCATGTTTAATAATGCTTATTTTAATCTGGTTTTAATTTTTGATGGTTTAATCTCATTTTCTACACCAGCATAACAATTAGCAAAAATGTTTTATGATTTCTGGAAGAGGGTTTTCTCTCATTTCAACCACACACCCAGGTTTCCCTGGGGAGGACATAGGAAACAGCCTGCTTGGTTGCTACTCCTAGGCAATTTGGCTCATTCAGTGTTGTCTTTTAGCTGGCGAAAACATTCATGAATTTTAATAATGCGTCTTTCAATTTGTTGTATGGTGGTTTGCATTTCAAACTGGGAGAAAAAGCATGATAGAAACAGTAATAATAATAACAACAGTTATATGACCGTTCCAATGGTCTAAATCCAAGTTATATTGTGTTTTGAGATCGTAACCAGGATTCTGAACTATGCTTGAAACAAACCAAGAGTTTTGAAACAGCATCAACACTCTTCCTACAATCACCCCCGGTCAGCAGTCTAGCTGTATCATTTAGGACCTGATGAAGTTTCCAAGCAATTTTGAGAGGCAGACCCATGCAGAAAGCATTGCAATTACCAAATGGAATATAATCAAGGAATATGCTACTGTGGCCAGATCTGACATCTCCAAGAAAGGGTGCAGTTAACACAATAGTTTTAATTATGCAAACATATTCCTGGCCGCCGCCACCAAGGTTCATGTCTAGATTTCAGGGTGTGTATAACCCCAGCAAGCAAGGTTTAAACCCTATTCTCCCATCTATCTTTTGACTGCCTATTAGTAATTTGCCCTTTAAATTATACTTCCAATTTTCACTTTCATCTAGTCTGTTACCGATATTTAGTATTGAAAACAGCTTCCTTGGAATCAGAAAGAGGAGAGAAACTCCAGGATACTTCTCCTAGTGGTTTCAAGTATTAAACGGGATTGGGGAACAAAACTGTGCCCTGAGAGTGCCTCACTGAGCAGGAATCTCCTGGAACAATCTTCTGAGCTTGACCTTCCAAAAAGGACCAAAACAACCATAAAACAATGCTCCCAAGTCTCACACCAGAGAGGTAGCCTAGAAGGATACCATTTTGATGACACTGAAGGCTGCTTGGGTGTTCAGCAAAACCAACAGAGACAAACTCCCTCATCCAGTTCCTGGCACAGGTAATGTATCAAAGCAACAAATGCTGCCCCATAAACACGCCTGAAACCAGATTGAAATGGATCTAGACCAGTGGTTCTCAACTTGGGGTCCCCAGATGTTTTTGGCCTTCAATTCCCAGAAATCCTAACAGCTGGTAAACTGGCTGAGATTTCTAGGAGTTGTAGGCCAAAAACATCTGGAGACCTCAGGTTGAGAACCACTGATCTAGGCAATCTCTTTCTTTCAGGAAAGCAGTCTGCCTTTGCCTGCTTTAATAACTCAGGAAGGGCAAGGATCCAACAAACATGTAGTGGCCTTCACCTCTCTAAGAATCCACTCCACAACCTCAGGCTGTATGAATGGATAGGTATACACAGAACAAGCAGAAACCAAGATTACATCCACTTGACTTTTATCAACTACAGCACCCAAGTGAGGCAACATTTCACCAATTTAGTCTGCAAAGCATCTTCCAGATTCCTCACAATGGACTGTCATGTAGTCCTCATTCTGTTCTTGTGAAACAGAGAATAGAAGGTCCTTTAGCGCTCATGACAGTTTTGCTGTGAGATTCTGCAGATGCATATAATGGTATAAGAGATATACAAGGCCTAACCGGAAAGTAAGGAAAGTAACTTTCACAGGGAATTTTCTTGGGGGAAGTTGGTATCACTGCCATGTAATGAGAAGCCAGCAGAAATGAACAAGCAGTGCCAGTCATCAGTAGCTCATCGACTGGTGTTGTGGTGAAGGTTAGAGATGAGCATCCTCATTCTTGGGGGCACGGTTTTGTCGTGGCTCCAGTCCTTCCTGGAGGGTCGATCCCAGATGGTGAAGCTGGGAGATGCCTGCTCGGACCCCTGGCTTTTGACCTGTGGGGTCCCGCAAGGCTCTATTCTGTCTCCCATGCTTTTTAGCATCTACATGAAACTGCTGGGAGAGGTCATCCGGAGTTTTGGAGTTAGGTGCCATCTCTACGCAGATGACACACAACTCTACTACTCATTTCCACCTAATTCCAAGGAGGCCTCTCGAGTGCTGGATGAGTGTCTGGCCGCTGTGGCTGTCTGGATGAGGACGAACAAGCTGAAGATCAATCCTGACAAAACAGAGGTCCTCCTGGTCAATCATAAACCAGATCGGGGTACAGGGTGGCAACCTGTGCTGGACGAGGTTACACTCCCCCTGAAGTCACAGGTCCGCAGTTTGGGAGTCCTCTTGGATTCACCACTTATGCTTGAGGCTCAGGCGTCGGCGGTGTCCGGGAGGGCTTTTGCACAACTAAGACTCGTGCGCCAGCTGCGACCGTACCTCGCAAAGGCTGATTTGGCCGGGGTGGTCCATGCCTTGGTCACTTCTAGACTGGATTACTGTAATGCGCTCTACGTGGGGCTGCCCTTGAAAACAGCTCGGAAATTCCAACTGGTTCAATGGGGGGCAGCCAGAATGTTAACTGACACTTCTTACAGAGAGAAGTCAACCCTCCTGTTTAAGGAGCTCCACTGGTTGCCGTTTACCTACCAAACCCAATTCAAGGTGCAGGTGCTTACCTACAAAGCCCTAAATGGTTTGGGACCTGCCTACCTGCATGACCGCATCTCCGTTTATGAACCCACATGCTCCCTTCATTCATCCGGGGAGACCCTGCTCGCGATCCCGCCTGCTTCACAAGCGCGGTTGGTGGGGACGAGGGATAGGGCCTTTTCTGTGGTTGACCCCCAACTTTGGAATACCCTCCCCAACAACATCAGATTAGCATCCACGTTGGCAGGCTTTAGGAAGAGTTTGAAGACCTGGCTGTTCCGATGTGCCTTCCCGGAATAGGAAACTTCAGCACTATGTCCCAGAAGCACTTTATTAGAGTTTTAAGACCTCTGCACATTGCACATGCCCTGAAATCCAACATGCCGCCTATCACACCCAGCACTTTTTAATCTGTACCCACTACTTGGCCCAGCCTTGATTTTACTTATTTTATGGTGTAATGTTTTGCTGATATTGCTTTATGTTTTTGATATGCTTTGATATGTTTTATGTTGTTGTTATGTTGAGGCCTCAACCTTTGTAAGCCGCATCGAGTCCTTCGGGAGATGCTAGCGGGGTACAAATAAAGCTTAATAATAATAATAATAATAATAATAATTCTGTTTCCCTCCAAGTGCAAAATTCATGCTATAATACACTACCTAAATGCTAAGGGCATAAACACCACTGGGAATCATGGCAAAATTGTTTCACTTTATGGAGAAGACATTATGTCATGACAGCATGTGACAAAATGGGTACGGAATATATTGTGAGACCATGAAAAAACTTCACAGAGCCATCCAAAACAAATGTTGTGGAATGCTGATGGCGGGAGTCTGTCTCCCTCATGACAATGAACATCCATACATCACTCATGCAACACAAGAGTTGTTGAATTTATTTGGTTGGAAAGTTTTAAGCCCACTCCTCTCACAACCCTGATCTGTTTGCTAAATTGAAGGAACGCCTTGGTGGAAAACAATTTTACAATGATGGCAAGGGGAAAATTGAAGTGATGAACTGGCTGAAAAAGGCAGAGGGAAACTTCTATGACATAGGCATCAAAAACTCATCCCATGGATGACAAAATATATTGAACTGAATGGTGATTATGTGGAAAAATAATGTAACACCTATGCCACAATCAGTGTAAGTTTTGTTAAAATATATTCATTTTTGTAATTGTAAAAAAATCTTGTAATTTTACTTTCCAGATAACCTTCATATTATGCCTTCATTGTCACTGTTTCCATAGAGTAGGCCTTCCAATGGCTCTAAGCCATATTCAGGTGGATCGGCTCCAAGTGACCACTATTGACACTCAATCTCAGCCCCACATGTTTCATTACTGCCAATTCCCTTGCACACTAGAGGGCTTGCTTGCCTCTATCTCATGAAGGGGATTCTCAAAGGTAATTGTGATCACCACCCTAGCCATTTTTGTGTTCCACAGCTCAACCACAGCTTTGATGGGATTGCTTGCCAAGCCACTGGTCTGGAGCAGCCAAGTATTTTCTAGAGAGGATTGTAGCCTGGTTTGTGGAAGTCCATGCAGCAAATGTTAGATTACAAATATCACTGTTCTAGCAGTGCATCTTTCTCCATTGTATCCCATACACAATTGATTCAGTCCCCAAGAGCATGGAAAGCTCTATCTAGTCTAAGAGTAGACAATCTGTCACCATCCAGATGTTTTGGACTACAACTGCCATCAATCCCTGCCAGCTAGGCCAACATAAGGTCTTGTGGAAAATGGAATCCAAAACACCTTCTGTATGAAGCTGCGAGAACTGGAAGTGCATTAAAAAGCTGCTTGGCTCTAGTAATAAAAATGGCAGTAGAACAACTTGAATCAAATTAAAAATATAGTTCTACATTCAGATATACATTATAGCAACAGCTTGTGAAATCTTTCCATACCTGTACAGATGAAACTGGATAATCCTCCATAGATGACATCATCATTGTCTGGTAATATAAATGGACACCTTGTCTGAACCTCCAAACAGTATTGCTTGCAAGGAATTGTGTGGTTGCAGTGAGACTGGGTGACTTCAAAATACTGGGAACAGAGCCAGGCTTTGTAGACAGTCTATGAGAAAGAAGGGGAAAGGGAAGAAGAGAAGAAAATCAGACACAGATAAGACAAAGCTAAAAATATCAGAATTAACCATGTACAATTCTAACAAACATGCACTATTAACTTCTTAAAACAACATAAAGACACTCTGGATTTCCTTATGATGGTAAATCCAATAAGATGGATATTATTCTTCACTAACTTTGTTTTTGAAGAATGAAATTAGTATTTTTAACTAGTTTCTTCCCACCATGAGAACCAATTTGCAGTTTTTAAAAATCTTTGTCATTGAATTCACTGTTGAATGTTCAGGCAACATTTATCTCAATCCAACAGATTCAATGGGTCTAGCTGAAAATGAATAAGATTCAGAAAAAAAAAACTTCCCTGTTTCCAGGAAATGTTATTCCACAAAGTCTTCCATTATTGTTAATTCAGTCATTGTGCATTTAAGTTCGGTTCTCTTTGTGCATTATAGCACATACCTTACTCTTAGATATGAGTATTCATTGCTTACCAAGGTTTGTTCCATACCTTATCAAATTGATTTTTAAACTACCCACTTCCCAGTCACCTAGGAAGTTGTACAGCCAGTCCTTTACATTTGCTGGGTGTGGAAGCACAGGTCCACAAGAAAGTGGAAAAATTGTGAATTAAAAAAATACTATTTTTTATCCTGAAAGAACACCCTGCTAGGAATCTCCATGTCATCCATCTGGATTCTGGAGCCCTTGGTGGTGCAATGGGTTAAACCATTGTGCCAGCAGGAGTGCTGACCAAAAGGTCGGTGGTTTGAATCCAGGGAACAGAATGAGCTCCTGTCTGTCAGCTCCAGCTTCTCATGCGGGGAAATGAGAGAAGCCTCCAACAGGACATTAAAACATCTGGGCATCCCCTGAGAAACGTGCTTGCAGACAGCCAATTCTCTCACACCAGAAGCGACTTGTAGTTTCTCAAGTTGCTCCTGCCATGAAAAAAAATCTGGATTGTATAATCCACTTCAGCCAAAGGTTCTCCATAGAATTGTATCAGAATATCTATAGATAGTTAAAAGGAATATTTGAATCAAATCCATTAATAATCAAATCCACAAACTTGCAAATATGAAGGGCTGACTGTTATTCAATAAGACAATCTTTACCAAGAAAAGAAAAGAATCCCACTGGAGCATTGGGGCACACCAAAAGACCTGGGAGTCACTCTGGACTGTGCTCCGACTTATAAGAAGCACTGCTTGAATATCAATCAAAAAGTGGTGCTAGAAATAATATAATATGAAACCTCACTGGCACAACCTGGGGTTCACAACCAGATATAGTGAAGACATCTGCCCTTGTACTTTGCTACTATGCTGCTGAATATGTATGCCCAGTGTGGAATACGTCACACTACATTAAAACCATGGATGTGGCTCTTAATGAGACATACCACATTATCACAGGATGTCTACATCCCACAGAACTGGAAAAATTATACTGTTTAGCTGGTATTATACCACCCGACATCTGTCGAGAAGTAACAGCCCATAATGAAAGGACCAAGGCAGTGACATCTCTGGCTCATCTTCTGTTCAGATATAAGCCATCATGCCAATGGCTTAAATTAAGAAACAGCTTCATAAGATCGAGAGAGATACTTGCAGGAACACTACGGCAAGCGAGAATCCAAAAGTGGCAGGATAAAACCCAGCACCTTATTCAGTGGCTGAGACCAGATGAGAAACTCCATTCTGAACACACAGAAGATTGGATGACCTGGAAGGCGCTGAACAGGCTGAACCACGAGATGCAGAGCTAACCTTAAGAAATGGGGCTACAAAGTGGAGTCCACAACATGCAAGTGTGGATAAGAGCAAACTACAGACTACAATGCAACCTGAGCCCTGCCACATGCGCAATGGAGGACCTTCTCACAGCAACACCAGAAGCACCCCAAGCTTCTGGCCAAAGAACATTTAGTATAATGCCAAGTTTTTAAAACTTTGTGTTTTTAAATGCAGTTTAACTGTACCCTCAACTCACTTCTGACACAATAAATAAAATACAAGAACTCTAATTTCTTCTAGTCAGAAAATCACTGAAGTATAAGTACTTTGCAATATATGCATTTATTTACAATTATAGAGATTAAGAACAGATAAAGATGCAATTTAAACATTCACATAGTAGATCCCTCAAATAAGAGGTCTTCTGAGAGCAAAAGCACATGGAAGGAGGGTATTCTTCTTTCTGTCCTTTTCTGCAACCCTTTGCTAGTCACCGAAACCAATTTTAGATGCCTGTAATTTCTATCTGCATGGAAATTTGTACCTCTAGCAATATCTACACCTTTAAAAATCTGATACAGAGTGAATCCAAATTCATAATCTTGCAATAAACCAGGGGAATCCATATTCTTGAACAATATTCTAAAAGTGATACATGGCTCAGACTGCTACAGTTTCACTATGTAAAGTAAATGACAAATCATCACAGAAGGTGGTGCTGCCTCCCTGCAACAAAATACTAAATCCAGTTTACAGCCATGAGGAGAAATACATGACAGGCACTTTGATCTGGTAGGAAATATTCTATATACGGTAAATATAATTATTTCCACCACTTGAACACACAGATTTCAGTATTAAAGGGCATGACAATGAACAGTTGTCCATAAAGATACCTATAAACAGTTTAGCATTTAACATCTTGAAATCCAAGTCCTCAATAACAAATGTTTCTTGAGGAAAGAGCATAATGGCATTTCAGCCTGCTGTTTGGATAACAAGCCTTCATTTCTCAATGTGCTTTACTGCAAACTTCATAGACCTTTTATGCAGTGTTCATTCCCCACATTGTAAGAATTATGATTGATCAGCAAGCATTTTCATTAATGAGTCTTGCTTCTACTATGTCAGACTAATAACATTATACAAGCATCTCTTGTTTCATCTTGCTCTTCTCCTGAATTATTAGATTCCATCCTGGTTCTGTTTTTCTGATTTGCAGGTTTTAGCCAGTCTGCAACTGACAAACTGTATCCCTACACTCTGGAATACTGGTTGAGAGCTCTATATGCAACACCTTGGCAAAGATGAAACCTGAATGTCATCCAGAAACATTGAAAAAATTTGATTTGTACTTTACATTTTTTTACACATGACTGATTTGTTTGCATTTTCTACTGATGAGAATTGAGTTTTTGTATTAAAAAGCAAGATATAATTCTTGATCATTATATATATTTGCACTTTTGTCTTGCAAAATGTATACAGAGCTAGCCCTATGATGTAGTCATTGCACAACACTGAAACCTACACAACAACGTCTCCATATTTTAATAGTATGCCATGTACATTTTTCCTATCAGCAAGCATAAAATCACGGAGCAAAAAGGATACCAAATAACAAAGGGAATTGGTTGGGCTTGTGCAACTAGCCCCAAATAACCAAACTAATCAGTCTGATTCAGACTGATTTTTTTTTAGTTCTGGGTTGCAATGGATTGGCCCAATTTGAATTTGGAATGCATCTGCACAATCCAATCTTGAGATCTGGACATTAAAAGAGCATAAAAATGAGTTCTCTTACATGTCTAAATAATGAAAATTGAAAAGGGAAAGAGAAAGAAAGTTGGATTTTGATCATTTGCACCTTTACTGGGGAGAGAATCTCAGGAGCATTTTCCAATTGGTGTATTATGGGATGGACTTATATAAAGTCTTTGAAATTATACAAGTTCAATGAGAAAAATAAATAAACTAGATTCCAAAATCTCAGTCTGGATTTCGGATGCAGACCAGAATGTCTTCTGTCTAAATCTGATTTGAACCAAGTCCAGATACAAATGGCTGGATCAGATTCCAAGCTGAATTGGAGACCTTGAGCACAGCTCTTCTTTTTGCTATGGAGCAGATCAAGCCAATATATGCCCCACGCCTTATTTTGGCAAGTCTTGATGTGGTGAAGTAGAAGATTTTTAAAATTAAAATAAATTTCATTTAACGCGAATCCCCCTCCCCTATAAAAAGAATTAACCTCCAACCACTCAATAACAATAACCTACAACATAGTTTGAAAAAGTCCCTTGAACATGAAGAAAACAGGTACTGATAAAACGGTAGCTTCATTTTGGTGAAAGGTTCAGCAGGTGGAACAAAATGAATGCCAACATCCAGCAAGGATTAAAATGCATTCCAGAGATTAATGTTCGAATTCACTGGGGATAGAAGATTGGCCTAATATAAGAAGTACCCATCTTATCTCATTTCATGTCATTTTTCATCCACTTTACTATC